ATGTCTGTGCCTCTGCTACCTGATCACAGCCGCCCACGTTCATTAACCACTATAGATTGGATGTTCGGCAGATGTCTGACACCGCCTTTGGGTGCACTGTATTGTCATCTACCTTGGCGTGACACCCTTCTCTGGGTAAGACAGCTTGTTAGCCACCCACAGAATGATTCACAGAGGCCATGAAGAAGAACGGAATGATTCACAGAGTCCATGAAGAAGAACGGCAGGTTACCTACCTCTAATCGTAGTTCTTCGAGTGGACCTCTGTGATTCACACATCCTGACCCGGCCTCCCCACTGTCACACCCTGTTTGTTCTATGTGGCGGTTGACCTAACTGAAAATGATTCACAGAGTCCATGAAGAAGAACGGCAGGTTACCTACCTCTAATCGTAGTTCTTCGAGTGGACCTCTGTGATTCACACATCCTGACCCGGCCTCCCCACTGTCACACCCTGTTTGTTCTATGTGGCGGTTGACCTAACTGAAGGGAGAGCCTGTCTGTTCTATGTGGCGGTTGACCTAAATGAAGGGAGAGCCTTGGCACCAGGGTACATATACCAAGGGGGAGGGCTCTGCACTAATGTATCATTTTGCTATTGCAGAAGCTCTGGAATGTCTGATGAGGCTCCATGCATGCACAGATTACCCACAGTGTGAATCACAGAGATCCACTCGAAGAACTACATTTACAGGTAGGTAACCTGTCGTTCCCTGGGTGTAATACCAGGCAAAAACCTGCACAAAGAGGATTCCAGCCAGTATATGATAAAATAATAATGATTTTTTTTAAAAAAAGCCAGTGACAACAGAAATAAAATACTATTAATGTCACATAAGATCTTACAACAATGCTTCACTCTAACCAGGAGAATTACACTTGCTATCACAAATTATTGCAGCTGTCCTTCTGTGATTTCCTTGTGAACTTCAAAGTCTGAACTTAATCTAATGAAAAATCTCTCTCATTAGTGGTAGTTTATGCACACAATATTATGGATGACTCCTTTTTTACTTAATCTGCAGTGCTTATTTTATTAAAACTAATACTCTAAATAGGGACTTGTGTGGCATTCATTATATGGTTATGGACAGAATTAATTGTAATCCCAAATGGCTTCTTTCCATCATTGTATACAGGCAAAGTACGTCCAAATTGAAGAATTATCCTGCCCTCACCTGACACAGCTTTCAGCAACTTTCACAATAAATTAGAATAATGCTGCCAGTATATTTGTTCAGAGTGCAAATGTTAAGCACCAACACATGGATTGTCTATTCAGCTCAGTAAACATATTTAAAGAACAAAATTGTTGTCCATTTGAAGTGAATTATTGAGAAAAAGCTAGTATCTTTTTTAAAAGCTCAAATTACCTTTTTTTTTTTTAAAGGGATGTACCTGAAAACAATCAACTGCTCTTTTCCCACAAAACCCACCCACATCTGGTAGAACATTAGCATTTGTTTCTCTCATGCATACTCAACTTTAATATTTTAATTTTATATTGTTTTTCATAACATGAAAATCTGTCTTGACAGAGCTGAATCAGGAACTCTTGTCCAAGGAATGTGCTGTTGTGGGAGAAGAGTGGCAAAAGATCTTTCCTTTCCAGCCCACCCCACCCCAATATTGAATTACTGTTGTCATGCAGGCATAGTTTTCATAGTCAAGGACTTTGAGATCTGGTTCTCACTCCATTAGAAGAATCTAGTATAGGCTGTATGGCCATTCAGATGCCAGTGGGGCTTATAAGAACTTAAAGTCCCTCCATTCAAAAAATAAAAATAAAATAATGCTTTGGTTAAATATCATCTTTTGTAGGGGGGGAGAGGAAATGCAAAATCAAGGGAGAGAATAAAAGAGAACACATCTTCATGTGTTAATTTTTATGTTTAGAGACAAAATGGTCTATGTAATTGTCATGTCATTTAAACAGAAAAAAATATAATAGAAATTAACAAGTACAATTGGTGTATAATGTAAATGGGAATGCAATATATTGATATAAATAAATAATGGAGAAGACTGAGCAGGTGAACGGTGTGCTAACCTATCTGCTGTCCAAGTGCTATGTGATGATGAGAAAACTTAAGGCCCCAGCTCTCCCTTTCTTAATTGACCTTACATTTAATCCATAACTGGACTTGGCAGCCTTTCAAATAAAGGACACTGCTAAATAGAGGTCTGTGCTGTGTAAAATAAAACACATGATCAACCTGTGCCATAGATAAAGATGTCAGCCTAGCCTTCTCACTGACATTCTCAGTTGCTGTGGGCAAGATATTTTTTTTCCTATGGAGAATTCGTTGACATGAAACCCACCCACCCCCATCTTAAATACAAGTGGTACAGATGTAACACAGTTTTACCACTACAATGGGATGAACTAGATCAGGATGATTTTTTAGGTGGGATAAGGAAGCCTTTTTCATAGTCATGTTGCATCTCAAAGATTCGATCTCATATCGTTGCTGAATCACAATATAAGGCAGTCACAGCTTCTCCCTTTTGTTCCAGTCTCTCCGATCACACATCCGTTGAGATGTAATGTGTATCTCGTGCTGGTTGAAATAGTCTGAGAACTGCAGTCTGAAAAATGAACTTCTCCCATTGCTACACATTGAAGTTTGTGACATTATCTATAACACATTCTTTTTTGGGGTCACAAGGGCATAATTTTATTTTTACAAAATAACATACACCACATAGAAATTAATTAATTTTACTTGTTAATTATAAAATAGCCTTTATTTGTAACATGCAAAATGTTGCTTCTTGTGGATTAGTGAGAGGAGGATCAGGGGTGAAATCTATAGAAATATAGGGTTTTTCATAAGTGAATAATACTAATAAAATAATAAAAAAGTTACATGCTAATACTAGATTACCTGATTGTTATTCTGAGAGGAATTAGCCAATGTTACTTTTTTTTAAAAGTAACTAATTTATAACTTTTTTGAATAGCATTTCAAGCCCTGGACATACCTGGAGCCCTATTTTTTTTGAATACCAAATGAGACAGAGGCAAATGAGAGGACAAATAGGGCAGAACACATGGAAGGCGCTACGGCTGCTTCCTCTCCTGACTCTATAGTAACAGAAACAGCCACCACAGTCCTGTTATAATTTAATAATAATAATAATTTATTGTCATTGTAAGTATATACACAGTATATCTACCACAGTCTTGTTATAATTTATCCACAATTACAAGAAAAGGCAAAGAACAAATCAATCCTAATGCTTATGGAGCCATGTCACATAGTTATGCAGGCTGTCCTGATGTGGAAGAGAACACTTTAAATTTTGTATACTAAATGAAGGAGAGATTGGATCTTAAACACAGGCAGATGGATTAGCAAATAGAAAGACTGCATGAAGAGACTGAAATATTATTTCCTTGCAATTCTGTAGATATCATTTTAGTTCAGTCTTACTAACAGCAGTTGGAAAAGAGTTGTCTTAATGACAGCAGATATAATCCTCAAATTGGAATACAGAGCGCCAAAGACCTCTTGAAATCATTTGGCCGTGAGACAAGAGTTGGGAGAGCCCATAATCTTTAAACCAGTGATGTAAACCACTTTGAAGCTGGTACAGTGATTGTATGCTAAATGAGTTCAAGATTGCTTCTCACAATGAAATACCACGTGTCTTCCCTCCCTGAAAGGATTCATGTTCATTTTGATTATCTGTTTCCTAAATAATCTGTATATGCAAGCAATACGTGCAGTGTTGTCATGGAACTGACCACAATGTGGGCTAGTATGATTGGAAAATAGCTGTAATTGTGAAGCTCCAGGATCCAGGCCCATTGTTTGTTCTTGCAATAGGTTTTTAAAATCAAACCGCAGTTCTTGGAGACTACATCAGAATCAAAGTAATGACTTACCAATGTCCTAGCATTCAAACATCTAAGGTCATAAAATAGGTTTTGGGGCGGTCATCATGGCTTTAGATATAAGAAAGTTAAAAATTAGAATCAAACCTGTTTTCTAAAGGAGTGGGTGGAACGCTGAAACAAATTGGGACCTGCAAATGTAATTTTAATTAGGGGTCACTGTGTGTCTTTGTTTTAAGTTTAATTTCATAGGATATTTTTAAGAGTTCTGAAAAGTGTCTAGAAGTCATATTATGACTTTGGCACACAGCACTAATATTTCTACATGCATATCAACCTTATAAATAATACAGTGGTGCTCCGCTAGACGATGACCTCGCAAAACAATGAATCTGTTTCCAATGGGTGATTTTCGCTGGACAATGTTTGGGTCTGTGCCTCGCAAACTGTTTCTCGCAGTTTTGGCACTGATCGGCACGTCGCAAAACGGGTGTTTTCCGGACCGATGCTTCACAGGACAGCCATTTTAACAGCTGATCGGCGCTTTGCAAAATGGCTTCCCTATGGGCGATCTTCACAAAACAACAATGATTTTTCACCATTGGAACGCATTAAACGGTTTTCAATGCATTCCAATGGGGAAACGGTTTTCGCAAGACGATGTTTTAACAAGACAGCGATTTCTATGGAACGGATTATCATCGTCATGTGGAGCACCACTGTATTTTTTTTCTCTGCACTATAAACAGGATAAAAATAGTTATAAGATGCTAGAGTCTAAATTATTACTGAATTTTCAGCTATTTTCACTCTTAAGAAAGAAGACTGACATGCAAAGGCAGCCTGTTGCACTTAGAATACCATCCACATGTGTGGAGTTTGAATACTGTCTCTTTAATTCCTCAGAGTGAATATTTGTATCTAGTAGTCATGGCTACAAGTGTCATTCTGAAGTTTGACAACTTTGTGCATATCAATCAGCCTATTGTAGTCACAGTTCAGCTGTGCAATACATTTCTGGTCATCGAGAGTCACTTATGTATATTTGGCTATTGACCTAGTTATCGAAAAAAAAAGTAAATATACGAAGGTGAAGTTCCTAAGCTAAAGATGCTCTTCACCATTTTGCTAACTGAATTTTCTTTCTTCATCTTTTAGGTCACTTCCTGGGCAACAACACTGTTATTGATGTGTTGAGACATGCTGGGTTTGAAGTGGAACATATACCTGCAGGACAAACAGTAGAGAAGTAAGTATAATTTCTCATAATTTCTCCTTTTTCCTGTGAATAAGCAAAACTGATTAAGCAAAAAGTGTTTCAGAACAATTTGTACCAAAAGTTTTACTCCCCCCCCCATGTAAATTCTTTTGTACAAGTAAAGATGTTTTGGTGATGTTTTATGGTTGACAACACCACTTAGAGGGATGAGTAACAGTCAAAAACAGATTGATTCTAAGAGTTCTCTGTACTACCACAATAATACATTTTCTTTGTAACAGCCCATCAAGTGTTCAAGACCACTCCCTAAATTACAACCACTTTAACATTATGGTAGTATAAAAATTACACATTTTGTGATGACAAACTTAGACCCTGTGGTTCCATTTTTGGTCTGAATATGACCAGCAACTGAGCCAGGAGGCTCTCAATATTAGAAAAAAGATTAACAAGTGCTATCTTATATATAAAAATGAAATTGTGAGCATCTCTCATATTGGAAATAGGAAGAGGTGCAGTATATTAACAGCTCTTAGGCAAGGGGTGAAGATATTCCTTGATCTCTCCCTCTCAATGGGAATGCTCCTGTGTTCAGTGTCAGCACGAATGCCAAAATGATAGAAGAAGAAGGGAAGGGAAGACCTTGAAAATGTGATAAATCTCACCCTGATTGCCAGAATGTTTAGAATTCAGCTCAGTAGGTTACAGAGAGTTGAAGCTGGTGAAATCTATGAAGCATGATCGGAGATTTATACCTCTGATAAGCTCAGAGAGGAGGAAGTGAATACTTTTGAGCTTTTGAACTTGTTTATAACTGAAGGATATAATTCTACTGGAAGTAGGAAGTGACTGCTCAGAGTGAAACATTTGGAGATATTCCTATTTTTAAAAGGAAGTTGAAGGAATTAGAAGAGATAAGGAAATGGCCAGTGCCTTTAGATATTAGCAAATAAAATAAAAAAATTCTAATAAAACTTCAGTGCATGTACAGAGGGATCTGAAAATGCTCAAGATAACTTTATTCCCTCTCTGCAACAAGACAGATGTAATGGATTATAAGAGACATGTATCCTTTGTTGATAAATTAAAAATCAGTAATTTGCTGGATAAGGATATCATCCATCGAAGAATTTTTAAAGAATCTTTATTTGTAACTGTGGATTTTCTAAGAAAAAAAATCTGCAATTTGTACCTAAAATTTTATTTTGGAGGGTTATGTGCTATAGCATTGTACCAATTTTGGACACTTCTGGAGGAAGTCTAACTTTTGTGTTTTCTGACCTCTATCAAAAATAGACACACACACACACATACACAGCTTTACTTCAAAAATTAAAACAAAATCATTGTCCTCTAGCCACAGAGAATCATTTAACAAATATGGAAGATGCTTTAGAATATCAAAATGATGTGCTGTATAAGCTCTCTCTAATAAAGCAGACATCTGTGTCATAATGCCTTGATCAAAAATTACGTATCATTCAATCACCAATTCTATGTTTTCTTGTATATCCACATTTATTTTAGATTTCAGTCATTGCTTGCTTTGTACAGGAATAGTATACCCATGAACTAGTCTGCAAATAGCTTTTGCTTCTAAGCCCTATAGATTTCAAGGACAAAAATGGAGATGTTGTCTCAATATTTCTATTCATGAAAAAAATGCTATTAATTGTAGAATTCAACAGAGAAGAAAAGTAACCTTTCAGTACATGAAGCAATGACAGACACACAGTGCTGATGCATAACTAGAGAACAGAATATATTCTGAGGATTCGGTGGGCACAGGTGCTTCCTGAATTGCTCTTTTTGATCAGGTTAAATGGGCAGCAGCTGCAGACGTTGATTCACACACTGGAATTTGTACAGAACTGAACTTCCTGTCTTTATTCATCTCTTCCTCCCTTATTTTTTTTCCCCTCTCAAAGTAGAAAAATAGAAAACAAAAATATTTGTGGCTACCTCAAATCAAAACACTCAAGTATTTATATAATATTTGCTGGATTGATATGTAATGGAAAAGCATGGCCACAGACTTAATGGTTCTCCCATCCATTTCCTCTTTTTTCATATCTGTGAGAAAGAGACTGAACATTTCCCCGAACAATTCTATGCTTGGGGACTCTGGGTTCTTTCAACTATGACTACTGAGAGGACAATGACCCTGGATCAAACAGCGTTTCCTCCTATTACCAAAATTCAAGCCAACTACAGATCTCCGAGTTTGAATGTCATAGAAAGTGTTGCTTTTCAAAAATTGAAAGCAAACACTTTCTGGGAAGAATGAGCAGGAGGAGTGAGGGACAGTAAGTGAATTGTAGCTCACTGTTCCTCTACTGGAAAAAAAAGAGTCTTCCTTTTACAAATGAACGAAGTGGTTATGTACATTTCTCTATGTATCTGTTCTACTGAGCAGGAGTTAAACAACTAAGATTGTCTGAACTCAGTGAATATATACATTGGAGGATTAAGAAATAGGTCTGTTTCTTAGTAATTTTGAATTAGTGGTACAAAAATACCTAGAAGTTGAGGGTTTTTTTTTTTCAGGTGAGCAAGAATTCAACTGAAAATTAATGGCTTTCTTTGTCTGTTAAATATATGCTTAGTACCTTGTCCTTCGATTAATATTTACAAACAATCCCAATAACAAGGGCTAATCCTTGTTTATGTATCTTATAAAACCAGAGGGAGATTGATCCAATTGTGCAGCCTCAATGGCTACGATGCTCCCACTTTTGAGGTGGTATAGAGATTCTCTCTTCCTCCATTCTATGCTAAATCTCTTACCTGTTTTTCCATGACAGTGTGTTTTGCAATGGCTCCAAAGTGGGATGGGTGGGAATTAATCAGAATATTTCAGTGTGCCTCTGTCTTTATAATCGCTTAGTCTAATCTAGATCTGGGACAGAGAAAAGACTGGATTTTTTTTTGGAATTTGGTCACTGGAAATATGCACGCCAGATTTGCAAAGAATTTCCATCTGCTTGTAAAATAATTTATTACACTTGCATGTCCAATTATCTTTCAGTTATGAAAGTCAAAAACCTTTGTTTTTCTGAGTAAATTTTAGATTAATGCATTATGGGAAATGCTTTTAAAATGCACTTAAAGGCTGCTACCTGTGATCCAGTGATGTTGATTATGTAAGTGCTCAGTGATAACCAACAGTGTGTCTCCATAGCATCCAGTGATTCAATCATTCTTAAGCAATTGTGTTAATGTGGTATTAATTTCTTGGTGGTTGTTTACTAAATTTTCTTGGGATCATAAGAAAGATACTGGTTGGAAATAGAGAAACTGGATTTGGTATAATAAAAATATACAGCAATGCATTATTTGTTTAGTCGTTTAGTCGTGTCCGACTCTTCGTGACCCCATGGACCAGAGCACACCAGGCCCTCTTGTCTTCCACTGCCTCCCAGAGTTGGGTTAAATTCATGTTGGTCGCTTCGATGACACTGTCCAGCCATCTCATCCTCTGTCGTCCCCTTCTCCTCTTGCCTTCACACTTTCCCAACCTCAGGGTCTTTTCCAAGGAGTCTTCTCTTCTCATGAGATCGCCAAAGTACTGGAGCCTCAGCTTCAGGATCGGTCCTTCCAGTGAGCACTCAGGTTGATTTCCTTTAGAATGGATAGCTTTGTTCTCCTTGCAGTCCAGGGTACTCTCAAGAGCCTCCTCCAACACCACAATTCAAAAGCATCAATTCTTCGGCGGTCAGCGTTCTTTATGGTCCAGCTCTCACTTCCGTACATCACTACAGGGAAAACCTTAGCTTTGACTATGCGGACCTTTGTCAGCAAGGTGATATCTCTGCTTTTTAAGATGTTATCGAGTTTTGTCATTGCTTTTCTCCCAAGAAGCAGGCTACTAGTCCTCTTTTGCAACATTGCAAAAGCACTTACTGTTTTCCATACTGTTAGGCTTTTGTTAGCCAGATATAGATCTTTTTGAAATCTCTGTGAACTTCATGGTTTGTGGATGACATTTTACTTCCATACTTACTTAGTTTAAACATTTCTGCATGTTTTATACAATGCAGAAAGCTGTTTTTTATTCTGTGCTCTTAGGTGGAAAAACTGCCCCCCCTTTTTTTTTCTGGGAGGATCTGATTGCTATTGTGAAAGGCAGGCAAAGATCCTGGCACCTTGAGAGAGGAAACTGCCCAGGAATGAGACTTCTGCCTTTCACAGTAGCAATCTTCCCAGCAAGAAAAGAGTAGACTTGAGCTTGTTGCTGAGCATGTTGGTCTCAGCCAATAGCTGATAAATGTAACACCTAGCAGAAAAGTAAACACCACAGTCCTCACTCTCCTGGATAACAGCTATAGTCAGAAGTTGCCTTATTCAGAAACGCACACACGACTCATGTGCCTCTTTAATTTAAAACTGTAAAAAGCTGCTTAATTTATTGATATTAATAGCCAGTCTCGGCTACTGCCTGGTACTTGGCAATCTCTCTAGAGACATTTCTAAGAAATGGAGCTGGGAATCCACGTGGGCTTGTGGAAACTGAGTCCTCTCCCTTAAAAATAAACATCTCCCATAAATCAATGGGGCTCACTTTCGTGTAACTGTGTTTACTAGGGACTGTAAATTGGACTTTTTAAGGACAGACTTCATGGAATCAAAGTTAAGTCAGGCCAACAATTAATGTAGGTTTTTTTTTAAAGACAGACAGCCTGTCAGCCAGTCAGGCTGCCTGTGCTCAAGTCTCTCCCTCTCAGCTGAGAGGCAGAGGCCTGCGCAAAGGCCATGGGCCAGCAGGAGTTGAGCTGCCTTTCAAGATGGCAGCAGCAGCAGCGCCAGCAGCTAAAGGTGAAGAGGCAACAGGGGCAGTGGAAAGGCGGTGGAGGGCAGTGGTGCCTGTAACATTTTTTGAGAAGACTCAAATTTTTTGAGATGAGTTAATGACTCAAAAATCACAAAAACTCATGGCTTTGTATTCATCAGGGGACATTGATGCATACAAATTGATGAATTAGTGACTTTTAAAGAATTTTCCAATTCATTTTTTGCGTCATGCTCATCTC